TTCTATATTTTGTATTAAAAAGCAAAAACAAATTAACCAAATAATCTTTAGTCGTACGATTAAAATTATATTGACCTATTTCAAAAACTTGAATATAATATTTTATATATTAATGTAGTTTCTTTGTTTGGTAATATTTTGGTAAGTCCTTTTTTCTTTAAGTTTAATATTTATTTTTACGTGCTGAATTTTATTCGGTTTAACTGTTAAACCGAACCGAATAAACCATAACCGAATAAACCGTAACCGATTAAACCGAACCTTATTTGGTTTGGTTATGATTAGATTTAAAATGTAAAAAAACCGATAAAACCGAACCATTTTAACCGAAAACCGAAAAACCAAACCGAATAACACCCCTAATAACATTAACAAAGACGAATTCCCTTTTCTCTATTATCATTTGCTTTTATTTTCTAAAAAGAACCCCAAATCGCCATACCCTGAAACCCTAGATTACGAAAAGTCTCTCCTTGAAGCATCTCCAATGGCGACGATCAGCTTGCGAAAGGGAAACACAAGGCTACCACCAGAGGTCAACAGGGTTCTCTACGTACGCAACTTACCTTTTAACATCACAAGTGAGGAGATGTACGATATCTTCGGCAAGTACGGCGCAATACGTCAGATTCGTATCGGCACCAACAAGGACACTCGCGGCACCGCCTTCGTCGTCTACGAAGACATCTACGACGCGAAGACCGCCGTCGACCACCTGTCTGGTTTCAACGTTGCCAATCGATACCTGATTGTGCTGTATTATCAACAGGCGAAAATGAGTAAGAAGTTCGATCAAAAGAAGAAGGAAGAGGAGCTTACGAAGTTGCAGGAGAAGTATGGTGTCACTGCCAAAGATCTCCAGTGAGTTTATTTACTATACGGATCGTAATCTAATATCTAGGGTTTGATGTTTCCTGCTGAATTTTAGGGTTTGTTGTATGGAATTTTCAGAACTATTTCACAGGAAAGTTGTAAAATGATGAATTCGTTGAATTTTAATGATATAAACTCATATGGATGTCAATAGAATCTGTATACATTTTGCCTTTTCTAATTATATGATTATTTAGGTTATAACCTAATACTTAGTTGATATACTTGAATTTTTTTGTGGATAATTGTTGGTGTTCAAGATCAGTTATAAAGGTTGTTGCTTATTAGCTATGGTTTTTTTTTTTTTTTTTTTTTTTTTTTTTTTTTAATACTGGATTGAGTCCTTGGTTTTGAAGTAAGATGCTTTGTTTTCATCAAGAATGTTACAAATACGTATTAAATTAGTGATTTCATTCTATTACCCCATGGAACCCTGTTGGTATTATGCTAATGGTAACAATTAGGACTTCAAAATTGTGAATTTTGTAGATTGAGAGGAAGTTGTATAACCTTGTTAGACAACCGAATGTTGGTATTGTACACAAACATGTTTTGCTTATTTGTTATTTGATTTAGTCTATGTTTGGCGTTTGAAAAGCCAATTGTTAGCTGAAAAGCCAATTGTTAGCTGAAAAACCAACTAACAGCTGAAAAACTTGCTAACAGTTTGTTAACTTAAAAGATAGCAGACAACTGAAATCCTAACCGACAGCTGAAAAACTAGTTGATAAAAAATTACGTTGGCCAAACTAGTTGATAAGTAAGTTATAAAATGATATAAAAGTGCATTTAAAAGAATGTATTTTTATAATTAATTATGAATATATTTGGAAAATTAAAAAAAAAAATCATGGAAAGCTAGTAAGTAGGTTTTTTTAAAAAGCAGCTTTATAAGTTACTTTTTGGCTTACCAAAAAGTAAACTAGCTTACCAGCTAGTTGTCGCGTGCCAAACATAGCCTTAAATGTTTTAAATATCATTAGTTTGGATATCATTTTGTAAATGTATTTGCTATGTAGTGTTTGTTAGAGTAACAAGAGAGTGACAATGGTTAATAGGTCTTCTGTTTAAAGTTGGATTTCAATTGGACTGGTCTTTGACATTCATTCGGCATGTGACTGTTTGTTTATTAAGGCTGATTAGTTAAGTTATTTACGCAAGATAGATATCAATGGGATAAACATTGCAACTTTTTGTCCAATTACAAGATGACCTCGGGACTCGCTCTCAAAATTTGAAGTTATTTTGATATTTTATTTACTCGAGGTATTGGATTTAATGTTGAAGTAAGAATACATATGTTTTGAAAGAGGAGAAATTGTCACTATTGGAATTTGTTCTTTTGCTATCATGATACTAGTAGTGTAATCTACATGCAATCTTTAAAGCATGTTGAAAATATGTGAAAGTAGGGACCGTTATTTATCAATTTCTTCACAATTTCAAAAAGATCAATGGACAAGCCAAGTTTGTGTACAAATAAACTACTAATTTGTAATGAGTCTTTTTACAGAATAAATGAAATGGAGAAATTTAATGGAACAAAGATGTCTAAATGAAACAAGAGTAGGTTGGTGTAAATTCAATACTTTACCTCTTATTTATACCCAAAACAAGAAAGTCAATCATACATGTTCTCATCTCCTATCATAAAACTATTCAATGCAATTTTCAAAAAAAAAAAATCCAGGCAAAAAAGTGCAATCAAATAATCTTTTAACACTACAATTTCACAAGTAAACACGTCTCAAATCTTCATTTACTTTCCTTCTTCTCGCTTACATTTCTTTTAAGATACCTCCTTCCAAAACACAAGGATAGATAACAAGAGCAATTTGTTGCGTTAAAAGGTCACAAAAGAAAGTATGACCTAACAAGAAACCTCACATGCAAGCTAAGCTACTCAAGTAAAAAAACAGAAGAATAATACAATATTTTAACTCTACAACAAGCATAGCTCTTTCCTCTTTGCACATATCATCATCATCATCATCATTCTTGAAGCTTCATGATAGCAGATACTTTTTTGAAAAAGATACGAGACATGCTCTTACTAAATAACATCACATCTCTCATCCATTCGGGTGCTACTCTCTCAAAAGTCCCCAATGAAGACACTTTGTACATAAGCTCCTCTTCTCCTGATGCATTCTTCACGTATCCTAAATTAAATGTATACCCTGCCCATGTCAAATCATTTACAAAAATACAATATCAGATCTTTGGTTTTCAAAATCTATAGCTAAATGCAAAAAATAGCAACGTACTTTTGTTTATTGGTTTATTATATTGTAAGCTATTTTCATTTCTTTCTATTACAATTTCTACTTCCAACTTTTTTTCTTATTAAAACATTGTGCTTTGTGAAATTTACTCAACTCTAACAATTTACTTGTAATTTTTGTTCTTATTAAGGAGACTAGCTGAAAAGCTAGCTGCTAGCTTATCAGCTGACGTTTGGTAAAACTAGCTGATAAATATGTAAAATGACATAAAAGGGCAGGCAGAAGATTAAAAAAGGGTATATTTGGGAGAGTTTTAAAAAAGCTCGTTGAAATGTTAGTCTAAGGCTATGTTTGGCGTACTAGCTGAAAAGCTAGTTGTTAGCTGAAAAGCTAGTTAATAGCTGGAAAAGCTAGTTGTTAAATAAAAAACTAGCTGATAAAAAATAACGTTTGGTAAAACTAACTGAAATATATAAAATTACATAAAAGGACATGTAAGAGCATGTGTTTCTACAAATTAATTAAGGGGTGTATTTGGAAAATTTTAAAAAAGCTCCTAAAAAACTAGTCTAAGTAGCTTTTCAAAAAGCTAGCTTATAAGCTACTTTTTGACCTGTCAAACACGACAACATAAAAAAACTCGAAAAATAAACTAGCTTATCAGCTAGCTGTGACGCGCCAAACACAGCCTAAATAGCAGCATTTTAAAAAGCTAGCTTATAGGCTACTTTTCAGTTTGTCAAATATAAAGCATTTCACTACTTTAATTGATTAGATTTTTAAAACTATGTTATCATAATACGAAAACATTAAAAGTACAATGAAATATAATCGGGTAGATTTTTCAAAAAACAATGGCTCAATAAGAAAAATGAAAGTAAATTGTTGTGATAAAAAAGAAATGAAAGTAGGATACTATAATAGAAATGAGAACCATTGTATGATATAACATTTTCTATATATGAAAATGAAAAACTTACCTCAGTTGAATGTAAAAAAAGTAAAATTAATATTTAATAATAATAACCACTTGAGGAAGGAAAAATTACCACTTGAATCATGAACTGCAGTCATGAGAGTGTCATCATTTTGTGTTGCAACTGAGAATTTAAGGTCAAGTAGGGATTCACAAGCTCTTGAAACATGCACATACTTGGATCACTTCCATTTACTACAACCATAAATAAACTTAAATTAGAATTATTCACTATTCAACTCCATTCCTTTTCCTTTATTGTTAAAAGACCAAAATACCCTCACTAAATGCAACAAACATCAATGTACAGATGACAGATGTACTTTCATTTATTTGTTTACCATAGAACTCATTTGTTTCTAAAAGACTTTATATTTTGTGTTTTTTCCGGATTAAGCCTCATATTTTTTTTCCTGAAAAAGACCTTGTATTTTTTCATTTTTTCTGAAAAAGCCCTCAACTTTGTATTTTTTTCCGAAAAAAAACCCTCAGCCTTCTAAACACTTCCAAATAAAGCCTCAACTTTTTTAGTTTTTTTCGAAAAAACCCTCACATTTTACAACTTTTTTAGGAAAAAAATAACTAAAAGGGCCAGATTGGAAAAAATGAAAAAATACAAGGCAAAAAATAAATATGAGGTTCAATTCCTTTCAAAAACATTATAAAAACCAAACAAAATAATTTAATCTTCATAATTACCTGAATTCCCAAGCCTTCGACGACAGCATTTAGGCTATTAACACATTTCCATTAATAATAGTCAGTGAAATTTTTATTATAAAACTTTCTAACAAAATCAAAACAACATAAAACACTAAAATTACCTGATTAGCATCATGAATAGCACCCAAAAACATGTTTTCTTTAACTAAATCATTTTGTGATTCTTCTTGTGAGGTGTTCTCATGTTCATCAATGGAACTCCTAAGTCTCTTTCTCATTGATGATTTGTTAGTTTTGATTGAAGAAAGAGGAGAAGTTGACATTTGCTTAATTGGAACTATTTCATTGTTAGTGTTTGAATGAATTTCTCTTCTATTCATCCTCTCAAGTTCTTCTGAAAGTTCTTTTACTGAAGAAAAAAAAAATAAGCCAAGTAGTTATCAACAATACTACAAGAGATACCCAAAAAGTTTCATTCAGTAAATGCATGAAATAGGAAGAAATAAAATTAGGAAGCTATAATTACAAATCAATAAAAGTGAATTACTATTTCTTGCAATTTATCCTATAAAAAAAGGGAAAACAACATCGGTTGCATGAATATGTGACATTAAAGAAACAAGACAAATGGGAATCTACTTTAGGGTGTAATTTAAGCAAATAAGTAACCAAAAAGTAAAATTAGGGCTTACTTTTCAGGTTCTCTTTTAAAAGCATGTGTTCATACTTTTTTTGCTCTTCATCCTTGGCAGATCTGAGAATAAAGAAATTATTTGACTTCATGATAAGAATATCAAGAAATTACGTTAATACCCCTGGAACAGTTGTTACCTGATTGAGGCCAATTCATTTCTTAATTCATTGACTTGTGCATCTAATGTGTCCTTTTCATTTTGTAAATGGTCAATCAGTTCATCTGCAGCTGAATAAACAAGAAACCAAAGGAATACAAATTATCCATCTAAGATAGAATTGTAATTCGTCTATATGGATCAAGATAGTCAAATAAGTTATGATTATTTGCTTTTCTATGTTCAATGCCTACACATGTGAGAAGAAAATATGGAAAAATGTAACAAATGAATAGCTCAATTAACTACAAAACTATACTGCAGATAAAAAGATACATACCAGACACATAAGTCTTGAACTTTTGTTCTTGATCAAAGTTGTAGTGCTCTATTTCAGAAGCTTTATGTGTCTGTATGGTAATCAAAAGTGAAACCAAAACTAGTCAATCCCAAAAAACAAGAATCACATATTCCCACTCAACATGATTACTAGTACATTGTAGAGGATGAGGAGATAGAGGAAGGAGAAACCTTGAGCCTAGTGTACTTGTCATATAGCTTTGAATAAAGAGCCTCCATCTGAAACTGAAAAAGTTCAAGATCCAATGATAACAGTCAAATTTTAACATAAATTCTCCAATACATCAGACAAAAAGCTCTATAGAAGGATTTGGAGGATATATTGCTTAGACCAATGATAACAGATGAGAAAATCGAAGAAATAAAACCCAATAACTAATCCATGTGTATGCAGAATCAAACTACGAATTGATCCCCAAATATCTATAAACAATCCCTAAATCAAGAACAAATAAACAGTTTTAAATAGAGATAAAAATAAATCCCTGAGCTGCAAGATCCATTGTGTAAAGAAGAGCCAAGTTGCAGAGGCACCACCAACACACAGTGGGCTTTATTATGTTAGCCTCATACAAAACTCATCAAACCTCTTTAAATTCAGCTTGAGTTTTCATTATTTTTTACTGAATCCGACACATTTGCATTGCAAACAATCAATTAGCTGGTACTGTTTAGGTTTTTCCGGCGATGTGTGATTTTCCGCCAAGAGACGTGAGGGATGGGAATGATGGTGTGTGGTGCTGTTTGACAGTGTGGTGAAGTGAGAGGGAAGATGAAGATTACCTGGTGGCCGGTGGTGGTGAGTCGGCGGTTGTTTCACGACGAAATTCAAATCCCTCGAAAACCCCACGAATCAAACGCCCAGAGAGTTTTGAGTTAATTGGAACCAGAAACAACACACCGGTATGAGAAATGTTTTTTGGGGGGCGGGATACGTCGAAATTTGGGAATTCGAATGATGTGTTCTTATAATTTATATTTCACCCCTTCAGCTTTACATATTCTGAGAATAGACAATCTTTAACAATCCTTTATTTAAACTCTCCTCAAGTCATCTATAAACAAATAATCTAAAAAATCTTAACTCCAATTTTTTTCGTACTTAATTAATTCAGATTTATATAATTCAAAAGAAAATGACCATGACAGAATATTTTTCTAATTTTATTCCGTAAAAAAGCCACAAAATGAAAAATCTTCATAGATAAAACCGAACCCAAAACCGAGCTGTCGGTTTACAAAAAATTAGAACCCACCCCAAAATTGATGCATTCGGTTTCTCGGTTTTCGGTTTTGAATGGGTCAGTTTTGGGTTGAAACCCAAACCCAACTTCAACCTTACTTGATGAGGCATAAAAACTTTCTTATAGAAGATGCCAATGATGAAACTTTTTTCTTTGGGCAATGTGTGATATATAGCTTATATAAGAGAAGAAATGGGGTGATGTTTGTACACATTGCCGATGTGGGATGCACAACTTAACCCTCAAAATAAAAACGATGTATTCATAATTAGGGATGGGCATAAGACGAAACCGCTACCGACCGGTACCGTTTTCGATATTCCAAATACCGAATTTGATCGAAAGTCAATCCCGAGTACTGTAAAAAATTAACATTACGGGTATCGGTACCGGGAATGGTACCAATTTTCAGTACTAATACCCATATCGGTGGTACTGAATCCCGAATTTTGTGATGTAACGCCCGGTTCCTAGGAAATTTTCTTAAAATTTTAAGTATTTATTTATTTATTGCATGTTTGCCTATTACGTTGGGCGTAATAAAGGTATGTTGGGCGTACCTTGATGAATCTTGGACACGAGTTTTTCCCCCTGCTACGCTAGGCGTACTCAAGCCAGAGGCAAACCCTATATTTTATGGTTTGGACCCTATTTAAGCACTTTATAACCTCAAAGCATCTTCTATCATCAGCGTCCTTCGTCCCCAAAGCAGTTCCCACGAAACCCAAATCCCTTTTTAGAGAATATTGACCCTTGTGTGTGTGTTTGGTGCATCTTGAAGAAAGAAGAAGCCCTTGTTGATTTGAAGCCTGTGGGTCCAGAATCTAATCACCTTCATCATCTTCCAGAAGGTATAAAGTCTCAACCTTGGTGATTCTTTGTTTGGATATAAGCTAGTTAGGGTTTTGGCATATTTTGGTCCCTTGAGTTGATTCATGTGAGTATAAGTTACTCCATAAGATTAGAATAGTATATCTTGATGTTTTTGTTAGATAAGGTGTCTAAGTCCGTAACTATATTTGGTATGTACTTGACCTGACTCGACATGGTCCATTTGGGTTGCATTTCACCGAAACAATTTGTATGGATAATCTTTTGAGAATAGTATATTTATGATTTATTAATATATTATAAGTTATAATATATTAATATGAAATCATATTATTTAATTAGTATTGATCAAGAATTAATTTGGAATTAATTTAGTGATCAAAAGAAACTAATTAAATATGGACTCTTATATATATAGAATGGGCAAAAGTTCATTTAGGATGGGCTAAGCTTGCATGGATAATTCATGGAGTTTTTAACCCATGGATCCTATGGAAATGAAAGGTCATGGGTATTAGGGTTTACATGGATGTAACTCTAATCCACCATACTATATAAAGAGGTCTTTGGCACATGAAATGCCACTAATGTGTGTGATAACAAAGGTGGGCCGATTTCTAGAGTGCTTCATATTCTCTAAAAGTCTTCCAAGTTGTTTTGGTGATTTGTGATTCCACTTGAGGCATCCACATTATTGGTGCTAGGCTCTTGAAGCTCCAAGCAATCAACCACAAGAAAAGGTAAGTCATTCTACTAGTTTTATATTACAATACCCCATGATATGCTAGTTAGGTTGAGAACCTTGGATAAATCAAATTTGCATGTATAATAGAGAAAACATAGATCCAAGGTTTCTAGGGTTGCATGTACACCATAGGAGTGTTAGAATGCTCAAAACCCTTCAGTAGTATCATAAAATAGGCTTGTTTTCATTATACTTGATGCAAATTGTTGAAAAAGGTCGAAATTATGCTCATTGTTTAGTGAACTCGCTGAGTCCATTGGGGGGCTCGACGAGTCCAAGTGAAAACTCATCCTACTCGTCGAGTAGGTTCTTGCACTCGGCGAGTAGGAGGCCCTGTGTGCAGATTTTCGAGTTTTATTGTTGGAATTGGACTAGAATCATTACTCTAAACTGTTTTGGACTTGTAAAATCTGTTTTTGATGTGGTAATGATTATGCTAATCCAATTACAATGATAATTATCAAAGTTTCAAGTTTTATTTATGTTTATATGATTCTTGAAATTGTTGATATGAATGTTCATGCTTATGAGTTTTGGTAGATCATAGGAATTATTTGCAAATTGTTTGTTAGTGTAATTCTTGATCTTAATGCCAATTAATGGACTCCATAACTTGTCCTCAAGTTATGGAATTCCCAAAGTCTTTTCTTTAAAACCATTAAAACTCATAAGTTATAGAAATGAAAAGTTTTTGAATAGTTTCAAAACTTGCCCTCAAGTTTTGGAATTTGTAAAGTCTCACACACACTTTAATTCCAAACCCTAGAGTTTTAAAAGTTAAAATTCAACCCTTATACTTTATAGCATTATAAGCTAATAATATATATATATATATATATATATATATATATATATATATATATATAAGATCAAGCCAGTCTTACCGTTAGTAGGCCTCATTCACGAAGCCGGTCTATAAGGGGCGTATAAGGTTGTTGCCTATAAAATGGCAGCTTAATGGGTGTCCACTCTCACCCACCGCTTCCTTGACTGGTGGAGGGTCGTTAGCCGAACGGGTAGGACAAGGACTATAATTCTCATTAAAAGTATAATGATACGGATAAAGTAACTAAACCTTTTATAAATTCTCAATCTTAGTTACTTTAGGAAAATGTGAATTTGGTGCTAACCCATGAAATTACACTTTGTACCTTACCAAGTCGTTAGTGGAGCGTGTGTGGTTAACCGGCACACTAACATGGACTAGTAAGTGTGGCAAAGGGTAACTTAATGTTTATCATAGATCGGTGGAACGCGTGTGGTTAACCGGCACATCGATTAGGTGATAAAGTTAAGGGTACCAAGTTAATTTGCATGGTTATTCACACCTTGTTTGTGATCCTCGGCATCCCAGTCACAAACTTGAGAGGGCACAATCGAGATTTAAACATGCCATTGAAAAGTTCAATGAATCTCAAAAGATCTAGGAGTTTCAATCCAATCAAAACCTAATACCTATTTCGTTTTTCATTGTGGAAATTGGTGAATCGTCATTCGCCTACCTTCAAATATTTTATAGCTTGGATTACGACATCCCTCTTCCAAGTTATAAAGTATTGTGTTGGGTCCTAGCCTTAATATTACATTTGGGTGTCTTATTAAGGACTCTTTATCCAATCTAAACTTGTCTTTCTTCTTTTTAGATGTCTTCCAACAATGCTTCTGGCTCAAACCCTACCGGCTCCTTCTCTCTCATGAATCTTTGTGGGAGAGTCATCTTTGATGGTTCCAACTTTAATGATTGGATCACGAACATCAGGATGGTCACACATTACAAGGACAATGAATATGTCCTCGACAAGGAGCTGAAGGAGATTGATGAGTCTACTGCTACTCTAGAGGAGATCGCTGACTTTAGGACTCATGAGAGAGATGTCACCAAGGTGGCATGTATCATGTTGGCCACAATGACAGCTGAACTCCAAAAGTCCTATGAGGACTTTTACCCTTTTGAGATGCACATGGACCTGATGGACAGATACCATCAGAGTGCTTGTCAAGAGAGGTATGAAATCATCTCTTCCATGATAATAACCCGAATGAAGGATGGTGAACCCATCACGGGCCACATGCAAAAAATGCAAAGGTTTATGGACCGTTTGCTGAAGTTGAATGTGAACTTCCCTGAGGAGTTGGCTATTGACATCATACTACACTCCTTACCTACTTGTTATGATCAGTTCCGAATGACCTGTCATATGAAAAAGGAGGAGGTCACACTCAGCAAGCTTCAAGGACTTTTGAAGACCGCTGAAAGTGGTCTCAAAAGTAAATCGGTTGTTACTACTCCTACTCCTAACACCGCCCCTGTTTTGGCAATCGGGCAAGGTATAGGGAAAAAGAGGAAGACCACTTCGAAGGGTACCAAGGGAAAGTCTCTTGATGGCTCCTCTTCGAGTGGAACCAAAGTTGGTTCTGTCACTCCTTCTTCCAACCCAAAAGAAGTTGAATGCTTCTATTGTCATGATAAGGGGCACTGGAAATAAAACTGCCCCAAGTACCTGCAAGATGTTAAGGATGGGAAGGTTAAGCCTACCCATGCAGGTATTTACACTATATTGTCTAATAACTCACCACATACTAATTCTTGGGTCCTTGATACAGGTTGTTGTATTCATATATGTTCTGATTTGTAGGGCCTAAGAAGAAGTGAGGATGTGGAGCACGGAAAGATAAACTTGATCATGGGGAATAGGAAAGTTTCACCTGTCACCAAGATTGGAGTTTATTCTTTTTTGCTGAGTAGTGGGTTAATATTAGATTTGAATAAATGTTGTTACTCGTCTGAAATGGCCAGAAATATTATTTCTTTTCACGGTTTGTACAAACAAGGATTTACTTTTTCATTTGTGGTGGTATTAATGCCTTTTATAATAATGTTCTTTATTTTAAAGCATTACCTTGTGATGGTGTATATGAAACTGTGTCGGTTGTAGACAACCTAGGAAATAATGTGTTGCATATTGATTCTTCCACTAGTTTGGACAAAGCATCCTTGTGACATTGTCGTCTTGGACATGTTAACAAGAAGCGCATAGGCCAACTCCAAAAGGCTGGAGTCTTGGAATCATTTGACTTAAGGTCAGATGATAGTTGTGAGTCTTGTTTGCTTGGAAAAATAACAAAGTCACCCTTCACTGG